AGATCCTTTCTCTCGAAAACTCCTTAGGCCGACTCATCAGATAWAGCTTTTAGAGCTAGGATTTTGTTCGCCGAAAGAGAACTTTACTTCTCAATTGATTACTCAGTCCAAAATAGCACCTGTTAGCAAGAGTTATTTTGCGTTAGAATTCCAGGCTGACGTTGTTAATTCCATTATTATTAATGCTGGTTCCAGGTCCATTCCTGGTGTCGAAAGCAGCTTTGAAATCGGCGAAGAGGTGGTGCGTGTCGATTCTCTTTTCACGCGTCTTTTCCAAGATTTGACGCTTGGTTAATATTTGGTCAGTAGTTGATTTTCCAGGTCTAAATTCACACTGTAAGGTCCAATCAGTCTGTTGACGGTGAACTTTAATATTCCCACAATACGCTCGATAGAACCTCATATGCGATGTTGGGGAGACTTATGCCACGATAGTTGGCACAGATTATGGCGTCTTCTTTGATTATGGCGTCTTCTTTTTTATGGATTGGGCATAGCACACTTAAATTCCAATCGTTGGGCATGCTTTCCTCCGACCATATTTTACAAAGAAGCTGATGCATGCTCCTTATCAGTTCTTCGCCGCCGTATTTAAATAGCTCGGCCGGTAATCCATCGACCCCTGCCGCTTTGTTGCTCTTCTGACGGATGATTGCTATTCGAACTTCCTTAATGTCCGGGTATGGAACATCTGCTCCTCATCGTCATCGATTGGGGAATCGGCCAATTTAGCGATTTTATCGCAATTTTCGATAACAGGCATTCCGGAGCGTGGCGCATCTTCGACCACCTCTACACCAGAACGAAAACGTTGAAACCATCGTTGTGCGGGGGAAATGGAAACTGTATCGGGTCCATAAACTGCACAAATTTTATTGGCGGCTTGAGATGCATTTTTGCCTTTRTCGTAGTAGTACTGTAAAATATACCGTATTTTCTCTTTATTTTGCTCCATGTTTTCGACGCTATAACTCACGAACGACTTAAAAGAAACGACAATCAAGCAAACACGTGTTAGCGCGTGAAATGAGCTTTCCACAAAGGTAAAGCATGACCCGATGCGACTAACTAGAACTACGCCCTCTCAGCGCCAACTAGCGAAAATACCGCAAGACTTTTTCTACAACCAATATAGTTAGCAAAGAGACATTTATTTCACAGTTGTTAGTTTTAATATAGGATATAGGGATTTTCTGCTCAAAATATCATCTTTGATCAGCGTTTTTTCCTTAGTTTAAGCTAATTTCTTATAAAAATAGATATATTTGTTATATATGAAGAACTATGTTTGATACTTAAAATACTCCACTTTAAAGGAGAAACTTTTTAGACCTTCAGCTTTSAACTTTTTAATAGCAGAAGCTAGCATTAAAAATGTGAATCGAAGTCACCTATTATTTTATACTCTTTTGTGTTAAATATTTAAATCATGCATATTTTCGTACCAAATCAATTACTTCAAAGAAGATTGGCTGTGAACTTCACAGTAAGATGTAAGAMCTAAGATGTAAATACTAAGCCTAATGAAAGATAATTTAAATTCTTAAATTTAAGGCGGGTATAAATTCTATAAAAACTAGAGCTAATCATTACTATGTCATGAGTCCAGAACATTCAGGCAGTTGAGGTCTAGAAAGGAGCTGCATTTACACTTACATTGTCTCTCAGTTCAACTTTATGTAATCAAGTTAATTWAAAAAAAATATTGGTCAAATCAGATCCTGAAGCCATTTCAATAAGCTTTACTCCAGAGTGGGATTAGTAGAATGAGAGTTTAGTAGGAATAAACTTTACAGAAAGTTTCATACAATATATCAAAGGGAACTTATTTCACGCTTAATTACAGTCTACAACTTTATCGTATCGTCCCAGAGTGTATGATACTTTCTAGGTACATTTACGTCAAGACAAATACAAACCAATCGTTGGGCATGCTATACCATATACGAAATACTTATTAGTGCTCCAAATAAAGAATGAGGTCAGCATAACGAAAACGGGGAACGTAGTATTAGACACGGTGTTATCAAGCAACATGGCGTGAATGAAGCAGCAAATCCGCATGTCAAGGTCAATGTAGGGGAAATATTATCTCAAAATTTCAAATCAAATTGTATTGTTTGTGATCAGTTTAGCTTGCAAATTCATTTTGCAATCAGTATTTTTTTTTTTCCTTTTTTAAACAAGAAAGAACGTTAACTTCGGCTCAACCGAAGCTATAATACCCACAGACGCGCTTTTCATAACATAAAAAGTTGTAAAAGGATCATTATTCTGATTTTCATTGGTCAGTTTGGATGACACCTAAAAGCTAACGTMGTTATAGTAGTTCGATCTGATTAATTTTTCGTAAATTGTAGTCATATTTTGGAAAATAATCTCTCCTACTTTTATTTATGAAACATTGTCCAATCAAAAAGTGTTCCATCAAGCACTTGATTCCGATCGCTCAGTTTGTTTCGCACTTATATGTATGTTATAGTTGTCCGACATCGGCGTCTTTGACAAGTGGGCAGCTTCTTGGCGAGAAAAGGACGTGGGCAAAATATCAGACCAGTACTCGTATTATATACAGACGGACCGGCAGACGGACAAATCGACTCAGCTCGTCATGCTGATTATTTACATATATGTGTACATACTATAAATACATTCATATATGTATAACATATATGTATATCAGAAACCTTAAGAAACACGGCATACATATATGTATGTTTCTTAAGGTTTCTGAAGTTTTCAAAAYTCGTGGCAAACTTAATATACTCTGTTAAGGGTATATAAATAGTTATTATATATTACAAACCTAAAGCTTTATTTAATCACAATCGTAAATTTTAAATTCTTTTTAGCATCGCATAATATACTAATTAAATAATGTATGGATTGACATATTTATTATGCTTGAAATAGAAGTCGACTTTTGCGTGTTGAAAGCAAAAGTCAGAGAAAATTAAAAAAATTATAATSTTAATCACTGACGTGACGTTAAGGACCCGGAATAGCGGCATTTCCTTCTTCGTAATTTGATAGTTCGTCACTATAGTGTTTATTAATAAATGTATGTATATATGTAYATAGATATATAATATATTCATGCTAATATTCCGTTAGCAAATATGCGTCGGCGCTTACCTTTCGATAACTAGCGTTCTAATTCACAATATGTAAACGTGTAATATGAAATAAACCACATTACACATAGAGTATATGCTCTTTGCAGTTTCACTAGTYAACTTGGTTTTTGTCTATTCTACCACCTTACCTTAATTACACTAATTTCTTAATCCGAATCGCAATGTTGTAGTGTTGGTAAATTGGGTATTTGTTAGTAAATGTTTACTATATGTTCATGGTGAACTAATATTTCCTTTCTAGTTGAGCTCTTATAATGACAGTGTCGCAGGTAAAGCTTAATTACTGAACATTCAWTATTTTTTATTCTAAAATGACTCATGGTTTTCGAAAAATTCGCCTGAATCAGTTGGCTCACTACGCAGGGATTGGAGCGTTTTGGGCTAGGATAGGCCAAACCACCACAGACGAGTTTTTGCGAAGCGACCACGATGATACTCGATGCGTTTTGCGACAAACGAAAGAGTCTCATAATGGGTGATGTAAGTAATGGGACTTTTTTTCAATTGTATTTCCTTGACAGATTACGCGTGAGTCGTGTTAAGCTGTCATGTTATATTTGTTCAGTATAGCTTGGCACTTCATCATGAAAAGACTGAATAACGTTTACAAATCGTTCAACTTTGTTGCGAAAATTCACGTTCTTTAAAGAACGTTCTTCGCGCGATTGAACGTACTATTCGCTATCTCTTTTAAGACCCAGCATTTATTCTTGAATAATATTCGAACGAATAGACCACACCCAGTACGCAGGGAAGAAAACATAGCAGCCGTAGATGAGAGTTTACACGAAAACTGTTAAATGTGGATTCGRCGCCGTTCGCAGCATCTCAGACTGACTATGGAACAACTTAGCGCAGTCAAGTCGAGATTTTAAAGCRTTTAAAATAYATTTTGTGCAARAACTGAAACCGCTCGAYCTTMCCACTRTGGGCWCTTGAAAAACTCCAAGAAGATCYGACGTTTTSAAGCCTGTCGATTATCTACCAAGAAGACATCATACGTCACACCATTAGATTTTTTCWGTGGTCATATATATGTATATGGTCTAAAGGCTATGCGAAAAATCCCGCTTCGATTCTGCTCTTGGAGCAAAACATCATGCTCGTCATTCGAAGTTACCATCCGAAATGCTCGAACAAAAAACGAAAGCAATAACGTCACTAGGTACCAAATAAAATGACAAATAATAACAAGTGTCTTATAAAGACGCAGATTCATCAAATTTCTTACAGTAAAAGTTATATACGTCAAAGAGGCGTAAACAAAGTTACACTACTTATGATCGTACAATTGTTATTATTGTTTATTTTGATATTATTTATKGCGCATAGCATAAAAATTATTATTGCTTTGTTGACCTGTGTTGTGACACATTACACGCCCCTTAACTTAACTTTTGCTTTTTGTATAGTTTATGCATTGATTAAAAAAATTCACAGCACTTTACGCATTCATTCATTAATCAGACCGCAAAACAAAATATGGGCGCAAACCATAAATTCAATCYACCTCGTCTTACACTAACSCCGCGTTGCCGCAACAGAGATGAGCTGCAAATGACGCCTTAACATGTGAGTGAGTCAGATTTCATTGAGGCATTTGCAGAGCCAAACCTCACTAACAGCATTGAGAGTACAAGCGCCGGTTGTGACAAAGTGACAGACGAGCGCTGCGTAGATCAGAAGATCTCATTCAAGCGTAGCTCAGAGTCAACTGCCCTTGTGGCGAGTAGGCACAGCGTGAGACTAAACGACTTACACTCAGCCACGCTTCAGATAAGGTAATCTAGAAACTTGCATATAGATACGTTTGACATATAAATAGATTAAGACTTGCTATTCTATGGCATTCAGCGGCTTGAGTCGGTGCAAGTGAATCGTAGTGCCACAATAAAAACCTCATTATATCATAAATATAAATATAATACTATACAATAATAAAAGTGGTAAAAGTTGTGCTCTAAATCTCACACCTTTAAAATAGTGTTGGCATAACGCGTGCTAAGTTTTGAAAGTGAAAGGAGACGATATCGAAAGTGAAACTAACGATAACTAATAAATAAGGAAAATAGTACAGCAAGTTTAAGACTTTTAACTAAAAACTAAATTGAAACAAAATGACTTCTGCTATTAGCAACTTACTGCAAAGTTTGCGTCTCAACTCGGCGTTGAAAAAATCGAACAGTACTTCCGCAAATCCTGCGCTGCATAAAACATTCCCACAGGAACCCAGCAATGGCCTACTACCACGCGGCCTTGCCGAAATACCGCTGTCCGTTGTGGCACAACATGATGAGTACTCCGACTGTTGGATTGTCATTTACGATCGCGTTTATGACGTCACACAATTCCTACGCGATCATCCCGGCGGCGAGGATATCATAATGGAGCATGCTGGCCGTGATGCAACTTTGGCTTTCCATGGCACTGGACACTCACGCTCGGCGATCGAACAAATGGGCGACTATCTSATTGGTGAATTACCGCCCAAGGAGCGCATCTTCAGCAAGGGTAGCGCGAAAGTKCTTTCTATTGACGTGCCACAGTGAAAATAGAGAGCGCAAGAGATAGGAAGGAAGTGTCGAAGGAAGGAACAATCGCTCACATGTATGATTAGACACATGTATGATAAGCTTTACGCTCACTTGTACTGATACTAGCACTGCACTCACTTGTTCCTATATAAGATATGGTGTTGGCAACTTCGAATTAGCTAGTGCCTGCCGAATCTTATCACATTTGGCGCAGAAATACTACGCGTTAATGAAACCTGTGACCCATAATTTAAGATATGTGAGTGAATTAGAACGTGATTTCCCAAGTTTAGACATTCAAACGCAGATAGTATAGAAATGTAATTGTGTATGTGAGATCAAAGAATTCTCTGAACAGTGAAATTTTTCTACAACGTAGAAAATCATGTAACTAAATATGTATGTATATGTTGTAACTACATATTAACCATAGCTTTACATTTTACAAATTTGTAAACGAACACTCATACACACATACATATATACAAATTCCACTCAAAACTGCTTTTGATGTGACAGCTTTCTTCAATGCAATTCCTGTTTACAATGTAGTATTGTTTTTGCATTTATACCTACGTAGTGTACTTAAGTATCAAATAGTTTAAAAACAGAACATTGAAACAGAATTTTAGACCCGTAATATTACTTGTTAATATTTATATTAAAAATTGCAGGAGCAAATTTAAAATTAATACTATACTGTTAGATATTGTTTATTTATTTAACACAAAATATTATATTTATCTTGGAAATCATAAAGTTCGTTAAATAATTATTTGTTAGAACTAGTTTTAAGTTAATGTAAATTAAGTATGTGTCTTACCGACCGTGCCGTCCACTTAAATATACTAAACATATGTATATAAAACTTTAAAATATTAGGAAATTCAATTCAATATTCAATCAAAAAGAAATAAAACCAAACGTGTTTAACTTATTTGGAAATGCTATCGAAAACCCTTAGAACTACCCCCCAATTAGCAAGGTAGTTATGTGACTTCCGCTAAGTAGCTTAGATAATGCATCTCGTATCACTGATACTTGSTCTTTCAAACTTTCTACACCGTTTTTGAAAAACGATACCTACTACTTAGTTACGGCGATTACGGCAATATTGTCACTATTTCATTCCAGCCAGCGTTCTATTGAGCTCTGGAAACAGGAAGAAATGGATGGTTGTTCGATCCAGAAAATACGATGAATACGCAAAGAATTGAAAGACCGATTCATACTATACTGCCTTCGTTTTAAAGGTTTTGTGTCAGCGAAAATGTTTTCACTTTGAATGATTTCATCCTTTAAATTATTTTATTACTAACTTCCACTGCCAAGTTCAAAAATATATTTTATAATTTATTGATATTTGCATCAACAACAGCCACTTTGAAAGTTCCTATATACTTGTACAGATGGRCGATACAGAATTCAGCTAGCCACTGACAAATTGTTGCTTCGCCTGGCAACTTTTGGCTTAATAACTAGCTTTGTAACGGTATTTTAGTAGGACGTTACAAAAGTAGAGTGATAGAGACAACAAACGACGTTATTTTGGCATACCTCTTCAGTWAGGTTTGCCATTTCGTCATGGAWATATGTACAATCCAACAACGAGCCRAAATTATTAAAATTTACTACTGAAGTTCATTGTCATTCCAGTGAAAGGTCATCATAATCGTCCTGTCAGATCAATAATTGAGCGTCTARTGGAAAAATTTTCMTTCACAGGCACAGTACAAAATGTTGCCGTAGTGTCAGGAGTATTGCTTGTGCTAGCGCATCAATTGAAGAAGACCCAAATTAGTCTCTCACACGGTGTTTTCAAGCGTTGGGCATCTATATGGCGTCGTTGTGGCGAATTTTGCAAAGATTAAATTGACGCATAAGCCGCTTGGCCACCAGAATCGTCGTWTGCCCGTTGGGCTGAGCAACAACTAGAAAAYGATCCGGATTTTCATCGAAAAATCATCTTTAGTGATGAGGTTCATTTCTGGCTGAATGGCTTTGTCAATAAGCAAAATTTGTCTTATTTGTCAGGCAGCAATTCACACGTACTCCATGAGTCATCRTTGCATTCCGAACAAAATTACGGTTTGGTGTRGTTTATGGGCCCGCGGCGTCATTGGGCCGTACTTCTCTCGTGATGAYGAAGACCGGCAAGTTACTGTGAATGGGAATCGCTACCGCTCAGTGATAACCGAATATTTTGGGCCCAACTKGGATGATATGGACTAGGAATATGTGKTRTTTCACAATCGATTTATTGAAAACCAAGTTTGGAGAATGTGTTATCTCGTCGTGCGATTTGACGCCATTAGACTATTTTCTGTTGGGCTACGTCAAAAAGTCAGAGACGATTGATGAACTTCGTACGAATATCCAATGTGAAATTGCAGCAGTATCGGCCGATTTATGCTTGAACACAAGCAAGCGTACCCGTGGTGGCCTTGCAGAACAAATTGAGTTTCATACATGGAAGGTACTTTCACAGAAATAAAGAATTTCATCGATATCTATCTATCTATTTTAAACATTGTTTTAAATACCAAAACTTCTGCTTTGGCACTACAACACAAAACTCCGCCAATTGCTTCTGCTTGTAAAACCATGCCGGTTGTATATCCCAACAGCAGACGTGTGACTAGGAATTTGATACTTCTATTGCAAGTGTGTATTTGYATCGAATCGAAAGAGCTTTTTGCCATTCACGCGCAGCATGGCTCCAGCGAATTTGTGGGATTTTTATGCGCCTGCTAAGTATATCCATGCCGCCTCAGAGCTTATACAGTTCAGAGTTCCATCTTCTGCGATATTCATCGCACACGCCGACAAAATACATTGTGGAGGAGTTTTCTGGTACGCTCACAGTGCTTTCTCAGTTCGTCATCGTCCATGCTTCTGTGCCCTATAATATGAATAATGGAAGAATTATAGAAAATAATTTTTGTTTTTCCCAATTGATTACCGATCCCGAAGWGGCGCGAGTTATTCTGCGCTTGAACTTCAGGCTTAGATTATTGSTGAATTTTAAGCTGATTTAGAGATATATAAAGTTCTTTACTTTTTAAAAKTTAAAGGTGTCAATAGTGWCGTAGTTCRTGAAATCTTTGTGTGTGGTCTYTAGGTACTTTGTCTTACCCTCGTTCGCGACAACCTCTTTCGGTTCTTTTTATTGGCTTGAAAAGCTGAACAGGCAGCTCTGTAATTAAGGCCTACGATGGCAAACAAATAMTTTTAGAGTAAACACTGCGATTAAAAGTAGCGGCCCGTATTACTTTTTTCCAACACTAAATTGAAAAAGACACAACGAGASGAAACCGTCCTACATAAAGCCTCGAACAGATCCTTCACGATTTTGGCACAGGTGTTGGTTGTGMTCAACGTCATTCTGCATAACTATATGAGTTTAGAAAGGCCTTCCAAYAGGCAGCTCCTGACAGTGTGGTCAAAAGCCGATTAGAAACCAACAAGAAAAGTGGCAGCTGTCGATCTCCTTGTCAATAGACTTCTTCTGGATTTGACGTACTCGTGACGTGAAAATCTACGGTGGATTTTTGAGTCCTAAGGCTAAACTGAAAAAGTTCARAAACGCATTTTTACAATTTTACACACAATACTGTCGAAAAACTCTTATATGCAATGTGAAGAAGGCTGATCCTGCGCAGACTGCAGGCCTCTCTTCTTGTTGATAGCTCAAAATAAACTTAAATTCCAATCATCGGGCATGTATTCATCTCACCAAATCTTGTTTAACAGCCAGAACGTTCASCGTTCCAACTCCTCACCGCCGGCTTTCAAAAGCTTACCCGGAATCCATCGACCTTTGKGGCTTTGTTGTTTTTAAGATGCCGTAAAGCAGTTTTCCCCTCGTCTTGTTCGAGTGGCAAGACAAAAATGTTGTCTCKGTAATTTATTGCTGTCGGTTCTTCCTCATCCGCATTTAACAGTTCAAGAAGAGTTGCCTCCAAATTTCGTGTGTACTCTGGCTGTCTTTTATCAGGTTTCCTTTCCTGTCTTTACAGGAGCCAGCACTGGATTTGAAACTATTTGTTTATTGTACCAAAATTAGTTTTTTTAAAATGCATAAATCAATGGACCCGCTGTAAAATTTAATGCACGTCTCTTATAAGTTAGGTATAGCAAACATATGGTTTTAATTCTAGTGACTGCCGCCTGTCCTCAGAATATTGGTTCCAAAAGAACGATAACCTAACGTTGAAATCTGARTTGAACTGTTCTGTTGGTTTTTTCGAATGTGATAGCTTTAATTACGCTGTTTCAATGATTGAGAGGAAAAGTTATACACTTAAATTATACAGAGATTAAACAAAATTAAAAAACGGTCTTCATTTACATTTATTATAGTTCGTTCTTTGCAAAAACTATTACCTATAAATATATATATCATAATCAAATCAAATACTTAGATATTAAATGTGCAATCGCTTTTTCGATGCTTAAAAATATGTGTAAAATATACAAATTGAAAGAAAAATATCACTTAACATTTTTGGCATGGCTGTGATGACTAGTGTAGATTGCTTCAAACATAAATCTCTATAATTATACGCATTTACTAAAATGCGCCTGATTAAAATCGATTTCGTTTTACTCTAAAAATTAAAAACTATTAGCTAGTCGTGCGTTACTAACTAAATTGCTGATAGTAAAAAAAGATCGGAAGTACTCAGCATTCGTGTTGTAAACCGAACGTGTCTTTGGCACTATCTCGTTTCACTCGCAAAATCGTTATCTTCTTCTATTCGCTCAACATCTTACTTTGCACAAGCTCGTAACATAATGYTTAGCTACTATTCGGTGGCTCGTGGGGCCCCTGTAAGAGTGCCTGTAGTTTTGCGGCGGCAGGAAACGAGCCTAAGTCTARCGGTGCTGCCCCACTTGTGCTCTGAATGTAGGCCAAGAGTCTGCGAAAAAAACGTAATAAATGTATAAAAAACAAAAGTAAAGCGATTTGGAAATACCAATGTGCCGAACCCCACTCACCGTCGCAACTCGTCCAAAGCATTCTGTTGCATTAGTATATAATTCTTAGCTAACAACAATGTGGCGATCTTTGACAGCTTCCGCACGGAAGGCGAATGCGCGTAGGGTATTACGCTGCGTAGTTCATCCAGAGCATCGTTTAAATCGTGCATGCGTCGCCGCTCTCTGCGAAACAAATTAATGTAATAAAAGTCACATGTACACGAATATTTAAAGATTTCTACAAACCTCGCGTTTATATTCAGTCGCACTGTTTTTGCCTGTCGGTTTTTCTGTTTGCCACTGCCACCGCTTCCACTTGTCCCACTGCCGGCGGCCACGGTGGTCGTGCCACCAGATAGGGATTGTGGTGGGGATTTCCGTCCATGTCCCAAACTTCCGCCACCAACAGCCCCGAGTGCACTTGGACTGGGCTTATTCTCATCTGTCGGCATGGATCCTTGCTGTGACATACCAAGTCCTTGTGCATAGAAGCCACCGAGCCCCACAGCGCCAAGCGGTGTTCGCCTACCGGGCACACTTTGCGGTGGGCTAGATGTGGGGCCGGGATGGCCAGACATCAAATTTGGTGTTGGTGGTATTGGCATGTGTGCATGACCGGGTAAAGCAAACCCGAATGGCAGGTTTGAATGATCCATTTTTAGCGGTGRAGTATGTTCCAAGTGAATTTACTTAGGAACTACAAGTATAAAGGCAAAATTACATGTTCAATGTCGTCCATAATATTTGGCTTTCATAAAAGGTAATCAAAATCTAACGAACTTTAGTAATTTACTTCAACTGATCGTAAATGCCGCCCTAAAATTAGTACACCCTAGGCAATTGCCTAACTTTCCTGTGTGGACGGCCCTGCATTTACGCATATGCGTCCGAAAGTAAAGATCAGTCAACTGCATGGATGTTTCCGGATAAASCGAATCCATCAAAAGTTGTTCGTGCACTTCCTAGCAAATGCTTGCCTGTTTTTCTGGAACCACTGGATACATCGCAACCAAAATCGAATGAATCTTTAGAAATTCTAGATAATGTTAAATGTTCTAAACGGCCTTCATCGGATATATAAATAATATTTATTAGTTTAGCAAACAYTCAGAAAGTTATGGATAGCAATATTGTGACTGCAACGCTTCAAGTSTATCAAAATGTTATGGGTATTCATTGGAAGTTAGTGTTTCCACAATTCTTCTTGAGCATTGTAGAGGCATCAACACATAAGATGACCGGAACAAAAGTTTTTAAATAAAGTTATATATCTTATTCTGTTATCAGTTCGGTTTTCATTACAGCTTATTAGTTGGAATAAAATAAAGTTATCGCAATTTTTATTCACTCTTTCACTTTCGAACTAAATTGACTAGTTATCAAGAATACTTCAATAGTGAAGATGTGGATGTTAAAAATTAAGATGATATTATCGCAATACCGTCATCTCTCTTGAGACTCAGCATTCAATAATGCGAAATATTCAAGTAAATAGACCACGAGTAATATCGGCTTTCAACAAGACGGCGCTACTTCCCACATATCGCATCATTCAATGGATTTATTGAGAGAACACTTCGGTGAGCAGATAATTGCACGTTTGTACCAGTCGATTGACCATCAAGATCGTGTGATATCACACCGTTAGATCTTTTTCTGCGRAAATATGTAAAGTTTAAAATTTATGCGGACAATCCAGCTAGGATTCAAGCATCGAAAATGGGTCATCTGAGACGTAGAGATAATCTTCAAAAAATRAATGCCAAAAAAGTTTCTTTCGAATGTTAATAAGCATTCTCCATTAAGTTTGAAGATTCTGTGTTTTTTCTTTAAAAAAYAAAAGTACTCCAAAGTAGGGAACTTCGAAATGGATGCCCTTTTTGAATCCAATATATCGACCAATCGCCTTGAAAACATCAATCTCTGATGAAATCTGCTTAAGCATTATTTACCAGCAAGGTTGAGACTATGAGGTTTCACCAAAACCGGCAAGAATGATGGTTTTGAGCTAATTCTACAACTTAGTATATATATGTACGTTGATTGAACAGCGAACATGCAAAACCCCTGCAACTCGGGAAAGGTGAATTTTGATGAGGGTGTAGTTCTTCCTCCTTCACCAGGAACCGGTACTAATCTTATCCTGCAATATATTGATGTCAATATATTTTCTTTATATTTTAGCTCTCTTTAAAACCCAAACATCCTCTATTTGATTGGGCTTTGGTGACCGCGATGTCAATCTTAAGTGTCAATTTAGTTTTCATATTTCCATTGAGAAACAGAGTTAACTCAATCAGGCTTACTCTGACGTAATTCAGCTGACTTTAGTAAAGCCTTTTAATAAAATTTTATCATTCAAACTGCTTTCAGGTTTACTGTTAAGCACCTCAAAACCCCAAATCCATGAGCAGACAAGCTTCCATAAACAAATTTTGGGGTGTGTTTAACACTCGTTTAATAAGTGATAGCCCTTTCTTAGCCAAACACATCTCAAAGGATTGAACAATACAAAAGTTGWCTCATATGTCATTGSTCCAATTACGGTTGATGCTCTCCTGCGCCCAAAAATGGTCAAACCACATATTAATAAATGTAGCTATCGAATASTTTGGAATTTTTAATTTTTTTTACGTATAGAATTCTTAGTCGGAGCCTACAATCTGATAACATTAGAATTTGGTAAAATCAGGAATCCCGTTGTTGATATAGAGAATAGAAATTATGGTTTTACCTGAGATTATGGGTTTGAAATAAATCAAAAAAAGTGGTAGCTAGTAATACATTAAGATAAAAAAGCACCTCGAACTAAATTCCCCGGGGAAATGATATATATTGTGCCAAGTCGATATGACTATCCTTAATTACTAAACTAAATATTGACAGATCATATTTAGTTTGTCTACAGCAGCTTCTGAAGTCGATAAATCTCAGTAGTCCGTCGCGATTTTTAGAATGGACAAAAATATTATATAAAACTAAGAATTTGTCCTTCAAAGACGGTCGAGAGTTCGTTGAAGACATGTCTTGTTCTGGACGACTGATGAAAATAGTTAAATCGTGAAGGGTATGGTGCTTCAAAATCGTCAGGCAAGTGTTAGAGAAATTCCAGGAGAGTTCGACATCTCTCGCGTGACTGCTCGAATGATCTTGGTGGATATTTTGGGTATAAGTGTATTACTGGTGGGGATTACTCGCTTTRAAGGCGACAATGTAAATAGTGATGAATAATTGAATGTCACAATGTATTTTATAARTATGGAAACTGTTTTGCTTTTAAATTACATTAACCAACTTAATCATTTGCCTAGAAAGCAACCCTGTAATTTAGTTGTCATAAACAACTTCAATGTGGCGTTTGCGCACCCTAGTAAAAGAAACACATAGTGAGTASCGCGCACCCAACGGCCGGTAGTCAAACTCACAGTAGTTGCGTAAAGCTGTCGCCTGATGGCGCGCCAAATAAAAGCAAATTTGCTTATTCTGATTATAATATTAGTAAATAATAATTTACTATTTTGTCACATCAGCTTTCAATAATCCTTTATTCAATGAAAAATGATGCACTAAACAAAATTATGCGACACTTATTATTTAATAGACGCAATATCTTTTGAACAAGCAAGTCGAATATTTCGGTGTATTTATTTTGCAGCCACTTTGGAGTTATTAATTTCTTAGTTTAGTAGCATTTTCACCAACAATTCGAACAATTACTAAGCACTTACACGTTTCTATTAATTTTTGTAGATTCCTGTAATTACTATATTGTTAATATTTATTTATGTTTGTTGATTATTTTAAAATTATTTTTTTTGCTTATAAAATGTGTGTGCTGCAAAACTAGAACACGAAAACACTTTGCACCAAATATCACAAATGTACCAACTGATGACGGCACCGACTACGAATTAGTATAATGGCACGATGGCGAGGGAAGTGCATGCAGCGGCAAAAACAACACAAACACYACCACCACAGCMGCAGCCGCAGCCGCCAACATCACACAATCTCACCAACGAGACAAGGATAAATCCCCGCCGCTTTGTGGTATTCAAAATCCAGATTTTCGTCCTTTCGGTAAACTTTGCATGCACGCTATGCGTCCGCCATTTAATTGTGCTGCAGGAATATCATAAATGTCCTAAATGTTTGGCGTGGCCAGAGCGTTCGGTTGCTAAACGCTTTGCGGTAATGGTGTTAATGCTGCCGCGGCTGCTGCTGCTGCTGCTGGTTATGACAGCAGCAATGGTGACGCTGCTGGCGGAGGTAGTGGTGATTGCGCTGAGTCGTTGGTGGTTGCGGTGCGAGCAATACACACACACACACGCACCCAGGAGAAGAGAGTGCTGCTACAATAACAACAAACTAGTTAGTGGCGCTATTGAATGATTCTTACCGCCGTCTGTCGTTTCGGCTTTGGTTTGKAGGATTTTTTGTTTGCTTTATTATTATTTCGATTTTATTCCGGCTTGTATGCGTTCAAATGTTTTTATGTTTTTATTAAGCGTTGCCGCGCACATGCTGCAGGACGATTACAATTGTCGCAACTGCTACTGAAACTAATCGTTGCGATGTGCCGCAGMGGTTTGAATGCGGAGCAGCTGAAAGTGTGCTACAGTGTGTTCCGAAATACTTTAATTCCGCAAAAAAAATGTATTATGCTATTGCATAGGAGTTCATTAATAATGTGTTCATACGGCACACCCGAAAGTAATCTTACGTGGAAAATATGATGAATGATCTGATAATAACTTTTACWGCACCGGAATGAAACTTTTTACACATGTTTCTTGGAAAAAAAATGGAGTTCGTAGATGGACGTAATTGGACCACTGCCACGCCCACAAAACCATTGAACGAAAACCTATAAAAAACATAATTAAATTCTAAATTGAGGTATACCTTGATAAAAACGCCTTTTCGCTGTTCGGAGCCAATTAGAAATTCCTCTGCTACTACCGGTGGGTACTACATCGAATAYTCTCAGGGCTGGAGTGTTTTCAATCGTTCGGCCGACATGACCTGGCCAGCATAGCCGCTGCTACTCTTAATTCTCTGAACCATATCAATGCCATCTCGTACCATCGACTGCGATAGTCGCCGTTGCCAATGTACAAAGAATCATAAAGCTTCTGCAGAACCAGACGTTATCCTCGGGGCCTCTGCACCATATAACAGGATGGGAATGATTAGTGACTTCTAGAGATTGATCTTTGTTCGTCGAGAGAGGACTTTACTTTTAAATTGCCTACTTAGTCCGAAGTAGCAGCTGTTGGCAAGAGTTATTTTGCATTGGATTTTGAGGCATTTGGAGTTGTTGTACTAGTTCTCAATTAGACGAATTATTTTCTCAAGCAGTAGATTAAAAAAGTCGCACGAAAGAGAGTCGCCTTGTCTGAAACCTCGTTTGGAATCGAACTCAGTATTTATTAGTATTACTCATTGCCAAATTCGCAAGTTGCAGAAGTATAAAATGTTCGTTTACATAAGAACTTAGCCCATCTTTTATTGTTTTATACTTTTTTTATTTTGTATACCATCAGAAGGTAGAGGCTTCAACAGATGAAGTGAAAAATTTGTTATTGCAAAAGGTGTATAATAGAAATTTTTATTATAATACCGACAACTTTTCTATATAATTTTTGTCTAAAGTTCTTACAGTTTTTCCGGTAATAGAGAAAAATTCTCCACTCTTCCTTTTCCAGACCATAGGTCGTCCATAAAATACTGATTTTGCTTTCGAATATGAGTATAATCCAAAATGAATTTATTATTCTAATTTTGAACGAAAATGTATAATGGATTAGATTAGGTTTTATGGCTGATCCCTGTGAAGTTCTACACACTCGGATTGTTAAAGAAGAGCGGTTTGCGAAGAAAAGAAGTTCCTGTGATTAGGTCTCACTACAACCCATCTATAATGGCGCGAGTACAGCTACCATTCGATAGTATCATCTACCTACCACAGTCAATTGTGTATAGATATACCCTTATTATATTTTACGAATTTTAAAGTTTGATTACATTAATATATATAATGGATATTTTCTAACTAAAAATGTATCTTAAATCTTTTCTCATTAAAAAGCTTACGAATTTATAAAGCGTTTTTTAAACATTCACGCAATTCTACTAAACACAACTATTTTTAATTCTGATGACCGTAATATTTCATTTTCTTTATGCTCCATTTTGCAATTTATATCAAAAATTTGAGAAATTCTACCAAATACTTTGAACAGTGCTTCCCAAAAATGTACGACTCGKGTTTAGTAGTAATAATAATCTTGATTCAGAATCCAGTGCAACTATAACAGCAACTAGAATACATTGCCTACCGCAATTGGGCTGTTGAATATTTATTTAGTGTCAGTCGGCAGACCGTGAATTGGGGAAATACCTCTACAAATATTTTAATTTCGCTTGAATAATTGTGAACTAGATATGTATGTATAGTATATCTCTCCGATATATTATAYTTTCAAATATAATATTTTTCGGCGAATATCTGAAAATGGTTCGTAATAGTCGGAYTCCGTCCGAGCACTTTCATATTATTGAATTCTAGGAATATCTTGGTACGGTACGTAGTCTTATTATCYCCTACATTCACTACGATGTATATTTGCTTAGAATTTCCAAAAACTTTACCATAGTAAGCAATAAGGGACTCTGCTATGGCAGCAACAATGCTGCTGACAATAATATACTTGATATTGATGTTCATGTTTTSGTGCAAATGATGCCATTGTTTTTGCCAAATCCATTTCTCATATTTAGGGGTTGAACGGCAGTGCACTGCTGAGTTGACTGTCGGGTGCAGCCGKTTGAATTTGTAGCAGAAGTCTGGGCGTTTGTTAATTCAACAATGATTGAACAGCCAAACGTACGCGGCACAAGCCAAAAACTAGACGATTTATTCACTCTGTACTGATTTTACCTAGAGCAGTGCTAAGTGATGTATTGAATTTCCGAGTAGTCGGTTTCACGTTTCGAAATGTTTCATTTGTTTGATTTCGAAAACTGTATTAGTTGAACTATAAGTTGATGAATTAAAAAAATATATGTATATATGGGTACGATTGCTGTATTGCTTTAAAATTAATGAATTACATATGTACATACAGTATAGTGTACGAAAATTGAAAAAGGATATCTGGCGTGAAATTCTGTCGTAGTTCGCGTTGGTCAAAGATCCCMCAAAAGGATACCGTTTAACTTATGTCCGATCGTTCAGTTTGTACGGCAACTGTATACAGCTATAGTGATCCGATATCGGTGGTTCCGACAAACGACCAGCATGTTTGTAAAGAAAGGACAAAATTTCGGATCGATATCTGAAAAACTGCGAAACTAATTCTTATATATACAGACAAACGGACGAATAGACGGGCATGGCTAAATTGAGCTTAGTCGATGATCATTTATATATACATACATATGTATATTATTTGGGGCCTCCGACTTTCCCTTCTAGGGGTTACAAGCATCGTGGCAAACTTACTATACGCACTTCACTGTAGAATTATTGCAAGCCCTTCAATTCAATGTCACCATTTTGTTACCTTTTTTTGGATTAAAGATTGAGAGTTAGTGGGATGTAACGATTTTAAAACAAGTAAGAAGGGTTTGGGTATAACCGAACATTTCATACTCTTACAACTGGCAAGGAATAATATCATGGAGATACCTTCAAGTATATAAGGCTGTTATTTATATTGGGTCTAGGASGAGTTTTCATCCGATTTTATTCATATTAAACACAAATATGCAGCGTTATATAAAAACACACACTCTCTCAATTTTATTAAGGCAGCTCACMTATGGGATGGACATATCGGGTACTAAGTCACCCCGAAGRATGRGTTGRCCCGATTCAACTCATTTKTAGCATACGAACATCGAACATACYGTTATCAGGAAAGGATTCCATCTGAATTATTATTATATATCAATTATATATCTAATTATAAGCATTGGAGCCGCATATTCCGTACCCAGGGGCTGGAACACTTTTGTTTGGATTTAAGCAGATTTTTATCATAATACTCTAAAGGTGATATTCATGATTTATCCCGTTATATTAATTCCTTCTTRATTTGTGTGCTAGAAAGTGAACGAATCAAATGGAACTTAAAATTGTGGTAAATGGGCGTAGCTGTCATCCAATTTTACTCATTTCCACACTGCAATATAGGAATTCAAAGAAATATCACATACTGAATTTGGTTGAAATCAGTCTGGRGGTCTCGAAATATGGGTTTTTACGTAAAAGAGAGCGGTGCTACGCCCGTCGTCCTATTTTGAAATTTTGACCCCAACTTATATGAGGAGTGAGGGTGGTTATCATCTGAATTCATCCATTTTCACATTATCGGTAGGACATCTAAGTAACAAGTAAACTTTTTACAGGGCGGGGCCACGAAAACACCCCATCTCTGAAAGTATTCGACGCAATACCGGGGAAGCAGRGGAAGAGGAAGACCTCCACTCTATTGTAAAGAAGGACCTGGCTACGCTTGGAGTATCCAATTGGCGCCACATAGCGAAAAGAAGAAACGACTGACGCGCTGTTGTTCACTTGACTATAATCGCGTAAGCGGCTTTTCGCTAATAAACAAGAAGAAGAAGTTAGGGTACTTTATCCGTTTTCGGTTAGTGGCGTTTTGTAGGCGTGGTAGGGGTCCAATTTCGCTCTTCTACGAACTCGTCCTTTTTTGACAAAGCATACGCGTATCAAGTTTGATTAAGAAACGCTCGTTTTACTTAAATGACTGCTTGCTCGGATGGGCGGACGAATAGACAGATAGACAGTCAACAGGATTTCGACTCGTTTCGTTATTCTGAATATATATGTATATATGTATTAAATTAGTATAATATGAGATTGTAAATGGCTCGTCACAAGTTCATGTTCCGAGCTCGCAGTGGTTCGCAATCGTATATTCTTTTTTTTGACAGTTGCAACTTGTAAGCCTAAACGCTTAAGGCTTGCTTTAAGGTGCTTAAGTTAGTACAAAATATGAAAGTCGCTCCTTAACTACTATACTTATGTGTCACTTTTGGTACAGGGTATTCTGTACCGTAAATTTGTGGAACCAGTCCCATATGCTACCTCTCTTGTAAGGACTTAACACATGAATAACTGCTAGTTAATTTGTATGGAATTGAGCAACTTCTCAAGCAACAAA